CTGACTTGATATATGTATTTTTCTAAGACACTGGTGGGTAACACCTTGTTTTATATCTAGCTCAACCTCCTACCTGTATGACAGTGTTTTATAATTATGTTATATTGGCAAAATTGGGCGAGCAACTAAAACAGACAGTATAGGTTCCTAACAGAGCCTACAGTGTAAATCGTCATTTTTTTCTTATCCAATTAACTTTTTTTCATAGCTTCAATAGCTGAAGGCTAGTGTTCTTATTTGTTCATCTACAGTTATAAGGATTCTGTCAGTTCTAACGTTGTGGCAAGGTTTCTTTAAATCCTATTTTAAGGGACAATGAGAGTGTTTCCTGCAGACGGTCGATGATTCATTCCTGAATTTACTCCACCAATACAGATTGGTCTCCTTGATTCAGCTATTGTAGCTGAAAGTAGAGTTAAACACTTACAAACAAGCAAAAACATAAACATTATGTTTTTTAATTTAAAAATAAAAAAAGTCCTTTATAGAGATATATCTCGTTTAAGTCAGATGTTTGACTAGATTCACATCTATCTCATCACAGTGCAATAATACTTAATCACTACATTAATAACTTCGTCAAATTTTTCATAAGAAAACATTTATAGGTCTCATAATTTTGTAATATATATTTTTCACGCTGTATGATTATCATTTCAACATAACGTCGACTCACCTTGTGTTATTCAACCAGTAACTGTTTAAAATACTTGAGATGTGTGTCTTCCGATTTGTTATCGTTTTGCTTTACGTAAGCTCTGCTTATGGACAGATTTCAAGACTCAGTGAATTGTCCATCAGTGAAAACTGTTTCGTATGTCAATTGGAATAAGGTAGGACTTATATTGTTTAAAAAAGAATTGTTTAGGTGTAACACCACTTATTAAAGAACGGTAAAAAAGAACATACCAGATATAGTACATATTTAGAACAAAATAGTTGCTATAAATAAATATATGTTTTGAAATATGTTGAATACTTTAGTGATCAAACAAAAGTTGAATGACTGGTGATCACTCAGGTGTCACTGTTTTGACAGATAATTTTGAATGATAAAAATTTTGCAGGAAATTTTAAAAACGGGTCATTTCTCGTCGTATCTCAAGTCATAAGTACATGATTTGATAAATCTTAGGTTACAGGAATCACTACGCTCTTATGTTCAATTAAAGGCATGTTGATGTGTTCACCACAACAAGAGTAGTTAAAATAGGACATTAACTGACTATCACTGTATGTGATCTTAAGCCAATATACGCGTCATAGATACCAGAATTTAAATTGTGTACACAAAACGCGCGTTTCATATTCAAAAGACTTATCAGTGATGCTCGAATGCAAAATATCGAAGGGACTATACAAACTTGAAATTGAAGCATTTTACATATAAAGCAAGGTGACCATATTTATTTTAGTGGTTGTGTCTGCTAACAATTAAAATACTAGAAAATCTACAAACTTTGGTGATAATTATAATAGTTGTAAGGCATCATATGCATATGATAGTAATCCTTTTAATTTCCTGTCGTTACATTTAATATGCATTTAGTCAAACCTTTTAGGGAAATCGTAATCATAATTATTAATGCATTTTGAAAGAAAGCCAACAAATACCAAAGGAATATTCAAATGTTGTCAAAAGTATTCCAGAAAGTAAATAAAAAAAAGGTCGAAGTACCATTTGCAAATTATATCATTTTTTTAAATCCGTGTTTCAAAAAAATCAATAACCCTGTCAATAGACGTACGTATAATATAATAGTGTTTATGTATTTTAACCAAGTCAAAGTGTGATCTACAATTAGCGAACCAAATAAACTCCGACTAGACACTTGATACTTATCAAGTGATATACTTGTCAGATATTTTAGATGAAATACAGGTATTTAAGGTTGAAAAAAATGTATCTGTATGACTGTATAATTTATGTAACGTTTATTTTCTAAAGTATTCGTTTTTAGTTATTTTGTAAAGAATATCGCTGATTAAAACGACTAATACACTGTAGACAATGTCGTAAAACATTCAAGACTTTTTTTATGTGATCAAAGACAAACATTGAAAATAGGTTAAGTAATAAGAAGACATGATAAAACCATTTCAAAATTAACAAATAGTATATGTGACCCTATATGACATTTCCAGTCTGATGGAGGTCATGTCATTGTGATACAAACGCCGTTCAAAATAAAAAATAAACATAACAAGTTTAGTAAAACATCTTGTTCTTCCTATTTTTTACATAGGTGCATTGTACATCACATTTTCTAATATTTTATTCTGTCATAAAATGGGTATTCTTATAAATCTATAATCATTCTCAAACTGATATTCCCAAACTAGTAACGACAAGAAATATTTTGAAGATCTGTTATTATGTGCAACGTTTGATCAATTAGATTTCATTTTCAACAAAACGCTCAGTTGTATTGCAATATTATATAACCTCAATTATATTATTTATTTATGTATGTCTCTGTCCTGAGTGTTCTTGCGTTTAGTTGTAATCTATTCCTTTCACGTAATGTTGTCATTTTAGCGGTATTTCAACATTACCATATAAGCGGGAGGTTTGGCTAGCCATAAAACCAGGTTCAACTCACCAATTGTTTTCTTAAAATGTCCTGTACCAAGTTAGAAATATGGCAGTTGTTATCAAAAATTTCCGTTTCTATGTATGTTGGCGTTTAGTTAAATCAATTTATGACTATTGAACAGCGGTATACAAGCCTTTATTTATCTGGAAAAAAATTAACGTTTTACGTTTTTTATTTTTATTTTTATTTTTATTTTTTTTAAGGTAATAATTACATTTCCTCTTTTCCTTCATGAACTGTTTAACAAGTTTATAATGGATTTGAAATTCAAAATGTTCTGCTCTATATAGTTTTCATAATAAATCCATTTAAATCACCGTATCAAATGTCGTTTGGTAATCTACTTCTTAAACTGTTATTCCTCGACTGTTATGAGTTGTAATGACATGCTTCTTTGAACTGTCGAACTTCAAAGACAAATTCAAAACATAAAGTACAAGTTTCCATTTAAATAAATTTTAAACTAATTTCATTGCAATTTTATATAGAATTTTACGAACAAAAACAAAGAACTGTTTGTAAACTAAGTACATAATTTGTGTTCATATAGGTTGTTAAATGTTACTCAGCACCACTCTAATATGTGTGCACTTTATAAATAAATGCGTTTGTAAATCCCAAATTTCGTCATTGAATATTCATTATTCCGATACCTAAATCATCTGTCATCATAACTTTTCAGGACGTTTACTTTAAGAACTTAATGGATAAAAGTTTATGCACATTTAATTACTTAAAACGCATCATGTTCGTTAACAGCGCCTACAGGTTATTTTTACTTCCTTTTATAGTTATGTTCCTCTAATTGAGGTCAATATTGGGGACATTAGTTCTGTTCTTCCCCGTATTGTTAAACGGGCTTCTTCTGTGTGACTTTCTAAACAAAAGTGTGCATTTTTAGTCATTCCTGAATGAATAAAAGGTAGCTTCAGCACCCAGAGGCAATATCTCTAATAAAACTCAATTCGAAATAAAATCCGTAAGTATAATATATGTCTATAAGTAAAACTAAACAGGTTGAAAGAAGCATGACAAGTCTACTGAGAATATTCAGTTACATTACAGACACTGTCAAATCATTACAGAAACAAAGCTGATATCGTGGAGTGCATTTGAACAGAACTTGTATGCAAAATAGCAAATTTTTACAAAATACCTGTTAAACCCGGAAATCTTGTACTTCAAACCTTTGAATCTGCTCTAAACTGTTGTGAACATCATGTTTATCATAATCAATTAAGGGTGATTAAATACCAGTTTTAACACCTTGCATAGAAGATAGGAGATATATTGTACTGTCATTGATTTTTTTTTGTATACAAGATGGAAGGTCGATGGTACAGAATAAGTGAGTTCCCAGAAAGAGATCCACGGTTACAGAATCAGACCTGTTTATCAGATATAAAAGAAGTAAACAATGATGGTACTATAAGTGTGTTTGCTTCCTGGCTAAACACATTGTAAGTAAACTATCACGTGAAGATATAGAATTGACGGACCAATGTGTAAAATTGAATGCACACACAGAGAAAGCTATGAAAACTTAAAGTATTATTGCATAAAACAGCATAATACACTGATCCCGTGAGACAACTCTCAACCAGAGATCAATTGACGTTGAAGTTAACAACTATAGGTCACCGGAAGGCCTTTAATATTGAGCAAACCCATGCTAACTTTTAAATATTATATGAAAAAGGAATACACAGCTATTGCTCCATGTGCTCTGAAATGGTATTTCAGTTTTGTATGTTCTTATAATTATCTTCATTAAAAAGCTTCATACTGAGCTTGAACTGATATTGTACAATGACATTGTATATACTGTAAAAATAGTTCATTTTATATTCATGTTTTTCATAACTAGAATTGTTCTCATGCAAAATAAACTATATCCAGAAATGGAAGGATTCTCTTTAATGATTTGAAAAATCCATTCACATGGGTCGGGTCCAATTTTAGTATGTAATTTGAACATGTTGATTTCCAGTCATTGTTTCCTAGTGGTAGTTTAATCTGAGTGGTATTAATTTTGGCGAAATCTTTCGGCATTTTTTGCCCTCAGAGATCCTCAACTTTGTACTATGTTTTGCTATTTTTTATTAGATTTTATTCGAGAGTCACTGATGAGTCTTCAGTTTATGAAAAGCGTGTCTGGCGTACATCATTATAATTCTGGTATTTTTTATGAGTTTTTTTTTTTTTCATTTCTATATGGCGGTCTGTCTTGTAAATAAATTATGTGTATCATACAGATAATTGTTGCGCTCTAGTCTTTAAAGCAATTTCTTACACAATTGTATAACTTCTATGAGTAAACTAATTTCTTGTTATCTTAAAATAATTTTTTGTTCAATATTGAATCATATTTTATGAATTTAATGACACACAGTACTAGTCAATTCTTTCAAGATATGTTTGTTGGTAGAATTATACCTGATGCAGAAAATCCAGGAATGGCCTCGTTTGACGGAACTCTTGACTGTGAGTTGAAACATAATGTTGATACTTTATTTCTGTTCTTGTTACTAGTTTCAATTACGGAATAATGATACGATGTCATCATTTACTTGAAGAATATTAAGAAATTGTTATGCCTACTTTACTCTGAACACCAAAGAGAAAACGACACTAGTAGACCAACTTTGATCTGGTCATTTGGATTTAAACAGTTCTTAAATTATAACATTATTTCAGTCTTTCAGTCAATTTTCAGACTTGTTCACTATGCTAAATTCAGTACTGTTAAGACAATTCGCTTGCAGTCAATCGCGATCTATTCAGTCTAGGTTCAGACTGTTCGGTTTTAGTTGATTACCTTCACACATTATCAATATATCAAATTGTCTGAAAATCTACTGAACAGTTCTGTATTAATTGGAAGCGAATTGTCTAAACAATACTGAATTAAACGCAGTCGATATGATTGTGAATTGACTGAAAAAGTAAACATGACTTGATAACTTACAGTTCAGACTTTGCACATGTTATTAAGATCCAAAATGATCGTCTAAGACTAAAATCATTTACAATGCGAATTCGTGCCAACTCTGAATGATGTTTTAATTGCTTACAATCTTGTTACGGTTTCTTAAAAGTATATCTTTGAAAACAATCATCTAAAATAGATTTACCAACTGGACATTGCATCTTATGTTTCAGCTGTTCCGCAGTATCAATATTCTCTAATGGCGGTACAATACGACAACTTTCATTTGCTCTATGGTTGTGAAGATGGTAAAGGACGGCAAGATAGTTTAGGTTCGTAAATAGCGATAAATATAATAACCAGTATCGTAAGATAATTCGAAGTTAGAGGGAATTGATATTATTGAAGGATAAGTACAACAACTTCCGATACAAAGAAATTACTTACACATAGTGGTGACTTTCGGAAGCTTTTGAACAGGTTTAGAGTAGACAACAGTGTGGAGATGAGACTAAAACGGATGTCCTATGATGTATTAAAATGTGTTTTGTTTGCCCATACAAATTATTATTGGCTCAATACCCGTCCCCCTTTTTTCGCCTATTCCACGCCAACATATGCATGCCATATTGTTTTTTGAGGCTGACATACTGCAGTCATTTTAAGTCAGAGTAAAACCAACAAAACATAATTGTTGATAGCTCCTTTGCTTTCAAATGATTTGGTTTGAGCGTTCTTGGTGAAGATAAATACGTGCTTCGGGCGCATGATATTTTTATCTGAAGAAACCTATCAGTATAATTTAAGTTTAAAAATTTTTCAAGATCAATATCGAAGTTTACCCCTAACAGCCGAAAAGAAGTTGACCCCTATGATAAATTTCTGTTCTGGCATAACATTTCTCTACTGTATTTTTTTACTTCCAATCCATACCACTTGAGTTTTTGTAAAATTTATCCTTAGTCCAGAAAGTTTTGCATACCAATCAAGCTCTAATAAAGCTTCTTCCATAGATTCTTCACTTCCATCCAAAATCAGTGAAGTGTCATCTGTAAGCTGAGATAGTTTATGTTCAACTTGAGAAATTTCCATACCCTGTATTTTCGTATTACCTCTTACCTTTATTGCCAACATCTCTGCACATAATATGAAAAGGTACGGTGATAGTGGTCCCGCTGTCTACAGCCTCGTCCAATACCAAAGAACGCTGATAAATTTCCACCCTGAATGACTGCAGAGCTATTAATTGTAAAATACTTTTATCCAATTGATTATCGAATTCCAAAATTGAAAAAAGTCAGAACTGCTAAAAGAAAATCCCAGGATACTGTATCAAAAGCTTTTTCAAAGTCTATCAACAGTAATAAACCAGGGATATCTTTTTCTTCAGTATACTGCAAAATATCATATATAAGTCGGATATTATCTCCCATATAACGCCAACTTATGAAACCAGTTTGATCTAAATTAATAAGTTTATCTAATTTTTTTTTAAATCTACTTGCAATCACCCTTGACCCAATTTTATAAACTGTATTTAATAATGAAATGGGGCGCCAGTTCTTCAGAAAATGCCGTGGCTTATTATCCTTTGGCAAACATGTGATAATGCCTTGTTTTTGAGTGACTGATAATGATCCAATGTGAAATCCATAATTTAGAGATTCTATAATAAAATATTTTAAATCTTTCCAAACAAATTTGAAAAACTCAGTCGAAAAACCGTCAGATGCAGGAGATTTATTATTTTTCATTTTTTGTAATGTTAAACCTGCCTCAGCTATAGTTATTTCCCCTTCTAAATTATTTTTTTCATCCTCTATCATTTTTTCAAATTTTAAATTTTTTAATCATTTTCTAACTGTTCAATTTTACAGCCATTTAAACTACAATCCCTATTTTTATAAAGTGTTTTATAAAATACTTTTGTTTCTTTTAAAATATCATATTGCTTTATTATAATCCTTCCATCTTCTGTTTCAACTTTTGGTATAATTTTACTAGTACAATTTTTTGACTCAAGACCACAAAAATATTTAGTTGGCTTTTCCCCTTCTTCAATCCATTTGACCCTTGAACGTATTAATTTACCCTTCATCTTTTCTTTCCTTATATCCTCCAGTTCTTGTTTTTTTTTTTTAATTGATTTATTAATTCTTCCTTCAAATTTGCATCTAATGAATCAATTACCCTTTGTAAATTAAGAACCTTTTTATCATTTTCTTTTTTCTTAAAACTTGCGTACGAAATCGTCTTTCCCCTGATTTCCATCAATAAAGTCTCAAGAAATAATTGCTTGTTTATAGTAAGTTGTAAATTTTCATCATAAATGTCATCAATATGTTCCAAATCATAAACATGTGCACAATATTGTTTCTTGACATCAATTATTTTTTCTTTTACAATATTTACATATTCTTGATTATATGATAAGGAATTATTGAATTTCCACAGTCCTTTACCTCTTATAAATGGGTTGAATTGTAGCTCTAAAATTACAAAAGAATGATCCGAGCGACAGCTAGGTTCAATTTTACAATTTAGTAAATTTGTTAACATGTTATCTGTAAAAAGAAAAAAATCCAACCTAGCTTGTTTAAAGGGCTTCTTTTTCTCCATGTATATCTACGCGAGTCTGGGAAAAGTTCCCTAAAAGGATCTATAAAGCTCCATTGATCTATGATTTCTAAAATTTTATCTCTAGCATTAGGGTTATTAATGTATACAGTTACAATAGTCTATATGGGGATACAATACAAGATTAAAATCACCACATATTATAAAGTTTTCATTTCCAAAATCTTCTATAATACACATAATAAGATGGTAAAAATTAGGATTATCTGAATTAGGACCATACAATGATAGAAGTGTTACTCTCTCCTTGTCTATAACAATATTTAATGCTAGATAATTACCATTTACATCTTTCTTCTCTTTTAATACCCTAAATTCAAAATTATTATTGAACATTACAGCAACTCCTCTAGAGTTTGACGAGAAAGTTGAAAAATAACAATCATAGCCCCACATGGTCTTGATATTCATTTCACTTTCATTTGTGAAATGTGTATCTTGAATACAAAAGATGTTGCATTTTTTAGACTTAGGAAAATTAAATACATCTCTTCTCTTTTCTATGTCACCTAGACCTTGACAGTTAACTGATAATATCTTTAAAGAGCCCATTCAATTATGAGTATAATTTTGTGTGAATTCCAAAAAGAATACAATAAAATAAAAGCAATATTCATCAGATGGGTTATTTGTACTGAGAAAGTATCTTGTTTTAACCAAAAAATCAAAAAAGGAAGAACAATAATTTGAAAAAGTGATTAGATAAAAAATTATAAACAGTATCAGGACAACAAGCATTCTTACTGTTTTCTGCATACAATGTAATGATGCAGTTTAAATTTTTGCAACTTTTTTCTCTGTTTAGTTAAATATTCACTCAACTATCTTAATAAATCTTATTTTGTTTGAAATAACATATAGTCAGATCAGAACAATTTCAAAATAATATACAAGCTTTAAGTAATATTTGGTTTTTTTTAAAAGGTAACTAGAATTATCTCCCTTCTTTCAGTATTGAGTAATCTGAATCTACAAAGTACATGTATATTTCTTAACCTCCAAAATGTCAGAGTTACTTCTCTTCTCTCAGTCTTTTGTTGATGTCATCATACAACCCATACTTCATTTGGAGACCATTATCAGTTCTGCCATACATGCCACAGTTGAAATACCACACCTGATCAAACTTTCCACTATCCTCTAGTCTTTTTATAAGGGCCATATTTCTGATGGTAACATCATCTACAAATTTTACTTTATTTCTTAGTTCTTTTCTTTTTCTCATTATACTCCTCTTTATGTCAGTATTAAAACATCTTACGATTAATGGTCTTGGTTCTCGCTGTGCAGGTAAACGATGAATGGCTACAATATATCGGTCATGCAGTGTTATGTTTAAGTCCGACTTTACCATTTGTATAAACTCTTGACGGAGATCTTGCAACTCTTTCCATGGAAAATTATATACCTTTATGTTATTCTTTCTGGAGTATTGTTCGTTATAGTTACTGCTTATATTTGTTACTTTAGCAATTTCTGTTGTTTCAGACAGTTCTTTTCTAATCGATAATGTTTTGGCTTCATTTTGGTCTATCTTCCTTCTCAAATGTTCATTTTCAATTGATAAGGCCTCCACTTTTTCTTGCATTTCTGTTTGGATTTTATTCAATCTTTCATTCATCTTTTTATCTAAAGTGGATTCAAATTTACTAAAACGATTTTTCACAATACCAGTAACCATATTCTCAAGGTCAGCTGTTTTGACAAGGTCTTTTGTTACTTCATTCAGATCATCTTTTGTTGTAATATCCCTGAGGCTTAACTTGATTTGATCAGGGTCTTTTTGAAAATTAATTATCCCTGATAAATCCATACTAGTATTAGAATCTGTTGACACATCTGAGCGAGTTCTCTTAGGGAGTTGTTTATTTTTATCTTTATCTTTTTTAGCTGTTAATAAAGACTGAACAGTTTTTACTTGTTTCTGTTGATCTGCTGATTGACTTGAAAGTCTATTTGAAGGGTTACTACCTCCAGGCATAGTGCACACAATATAATTATACAAGTCTATTGTAGATAAATCCAATCATTCAATTTTACACAATAAAATCCTTGAAAAAGTCTAATATGTCTAATATTTCATATATTCTTGAAATATATCACACAAAAAGCATATCAATGGATGTATCACTTCAAAAACTTCTTCTTGGCCATAAAATTAATCCATTTCAAACATTTAAACTGCTCACAATATTGCAAAAATTGGGAGCTGACTTTTCACAGTATTATCAGCTCAGCGGCCATCTTGTACGCATGATATTTTTGATTCGTTAGCGAATTTCTTACTGTCAAAGCATCATATAGAGTGAAATTGTTAAGTAATTGATAGAAGGGATAACATGAATCATAAAACAGTGACAACCTACAATGATCGACGCACGGTTGAGATAGCTTTTCTTGATACTGGCGCTAAAAATTGAGGTAACACCATTCTAACATGTTCATGAGTATACAGATCCATTAACTTCATGTATCCACGCTGTATTTCTTCAAACTAAAAATACAACAATAAACCCTCAAGAGGAGGTACCAACAGGATAACCACTGACTTGAACAAGGAAATAATACATGCACATTATCTTAAACACAATGTCAAAATATAAAAAAGTTAGCTACAACTTTTCAATTTTATTTTTTTTTTAGTACAACGACAATAAACATATAAAACAAACACACGTGTAGTAAATAAAATGTTCTTTTTTTTTAAATCATTTTAACATGCGATTATATTCTTGATACAATAAACCACTACAAACGTTTAATGTAATCTGTCTAACTGTAATTGTAGAGACCGCATTTATTTTCTCACGTACACCAGAGCCATTGGAGAGATCTGAGCTAGATAATGTATATTGTCTTCTAGGAAGTAACGGCGTAGATCCAGATAAGTTTGTGTTCGTTGACCATCGCAATTGCCCAAATCTACAATAGAGGCTCACAAATGTATTTTAGTAGACTTCTATAATAAACAAATATTTTGAATTAGACATATACAGTGTATGTCTTTGTTTTATGAGTTGCATTATGATACTATCTAGATGTCTTATTCAGTGTTGAGTTAAAAAAAAGTAAAAAAAAAAAACTACGAGGAAAACTTATAAATGAAAAGCTAAAACGTATCAAACAAATGGAAAACACCTGTCCTTTTGGGGTCTTTCAAGCTGACTTTACGATATGGGTTTTGCTTATTGTTGAAGGCCGTACGGTGACCTATAAATGTTCACGTCTATGTCATTTGGTCTCTTGTTGAGGGTTGTCTCATTGGCAGTTATATGACATCTTCTAATTTTATAATTATTGCATTTCAATTAAGATTTAAGTCGGTCAGTGTGCAACATTTACTTGATTGAAATAACAACAATTCCATGTCCTGAACGAATAATCACTTTAGATCATCTAACCTATAGGTGTGAATTTGACCTTTAATTTCATAGCATAAAGGAACGATAAGACAGTTGGCAGAGTTTCATGACAATATGATATATATTAAAGACAATATGACCATTTTAATTTAGAACTTTTGGTGTTCATTTTGACAGTTCAAATCAAATAATTTCAACTTTTAAGATATTTAGATATTTAGTTATTTAGATTTTGAAAAAAATTGCTTTTGAAATGCACTTTTATATAATGAATCATGTATTAAAATTAACTGAACGCTCGTTTGGTGTATCAGATTCATTACATTGGTTTAAAAGTAAAATTTATATGAGCATGCGCCTAAGAAAAGGCGGGGGGGGGGTCTTATATGAACATGTTTTTGTTTTCCTACAATTGAACAATTTTAAAATTATTTTGGTACAAAATAAATCTTTCATATATATCTAATGTACCTTAAATGAAAATAAAGTTACAAATACATACTACATGAGTATAGTATGGTCTAAGGCCTTGTTAGACTGGAAACTATTTAAAGTCAATAGTCCGTAACACATATTTAAATATAAATTACATACAGAAGCTATATAAGAAATAGAAATATGATGGGTTTTTTTCTGCTCATTTCTGTGCTACGATGTTATGAAACAAGATATCTGAATGCAATAGGATTCTTGAATTCAATACATTTTGGCAGACAGTATGGTCTGATGCACAGATTGTTCACGTTTCAGTTGAAACTTGCATATAATTTTAGTCTGATATAAGGGATGTATTTGAAGCACTTACTATACTTCAGAAGAAAATAAAAGTGCTTTTAAATATATGAAATGACACAAGTATCCTTATCATTGTTAGGTGCTTGTTTTACAGATTTATTAAAATGTTTATGATTGAACTCAACTTTTATGTGCAAAGCCCCTCACATTTCATAGAGATGTAAATTCTGTACATTAATTCATTTTGACGAATTGATACCAGCAACCATTCAGGAAAGTACAGAATCTACATTTACTGAATGCATCTCTTGGGCCCGAGTACATATTTATATCTCAGTGTATTTCTTTTAGACAAAAAATACAAATCTTAAAAATCATACATGCTCCATCTAAAACACATTTTTACAGCGTAATGTCCTTCTTTTGTGTCAAATTATATCAAAAGTATAGAAAATTCTTCCAGCGTTAACTTACCTTATTTACAATTTGATGCTAAGGGGGTCAATAATTCAGTTTGACAGCTTCACCAAACTAGTTGTGTTCCTTTTTCAAGTGGACAAAATAAGTATTTTGCCTTAAAATTCCTAATCGAAATTGTTTTGCCTGTAATTTTTCCCCCCTTCTTACCACTTTATGAATAACATTATTAAGAAATAAATTTGAAAGATCAATGAGAAAAATTGCATGTTATACATTATTCACAACAAGGGCCTATATGTGTAGACAGCGAAACTTAAAGGACAATGCAATAATACATCTTGATCCAATATTGAATGAATTGACATATGTCTTAACAATTAAACAAGCTCGAAATTGTTCCTGATTAAATAAAACAATTTGGATAAACTAAATAGACACATTGACTCAAAAGAAGGACATTACGCTGTAAAAATGCGTTTAGATGAAATATGTGTGATTTTTAAGATTTGAATTTATTGTCTTACAGAAATACACTTAGAAATAATTATGTACTCAGACCTACGATATGTGTTCAGTAAGTTGAGATCTCACAAAACATGTTTTACCCCGCCGCATTTTTGCGTCTGTCCCAAGTCAGGAGCCTCTGGCCTTTGTTGGTATTGTATGTTTTTTTTTAATCTTAGTTCATTATATGTTTCGGAGTTTATTGTGACGTCCATTTTCACTGAACTAGTTCACATTTTTGTTTAGGGGCCAGCTGAGGCCCGCCTCTGGGTGCGGGATTTTCTCGCTGTGTTAAAGACCTATTGGTGGCTTCATGCTGTTTTTTGCTCTTTGGTCGGGTTGTTGTCTCTTTGACACATTACCCATATACATTCTCAATTTTAAATTACAATATTTGCCATAAACAAATGTTTTGGTATGACATACACAAACTATAGATTGTTGTTGATCTGATACTAAATACCAGAATAATGAATTGTAAATAAAGGTCTCATTGGCACTAATACCACATCTTCCTATATCTATATAATAGTAGTATACCGCTGTTCAATAGTCATAAATTGATTTAACTGAAACAAATCCGAGTCACAAACCAAAACTGAGGGAAACACATCAGCTAAAACAGGAAACAAAACGGAACAACAGAGACACTGAAACTGCTACAAAAACAAACGCCAACATACATAGAAACGATTATGTGATAACACCTGCCATATAACGACACTAACATTAAAATTTTCTAAAGATTAATTCTATATTTCATGAACGAAAACAAGTTTAATTGAAAATGACAACACGAGTTGCCTTTCTTGTACATCATTCTTTATGAAAAATAAACAGGTGTGATGTATCATTTATTGTTAGGTGGAAATAACGACAGTTTTCGGATGACTATTATTATTAGATGATCACAACAATAGCACGTCCGAATTGTCGAAACTGATTATCAGTGTCTAGACAAATTATTTTCCGGACGTATCAAATTTGTTTTTGCGTGCGTTAATATGCAATTCAAAATTTTCCAAATTGATGGCTTGAATAAAATTACCCGAAATATTTCTTAATCTCATAATATGATGGATTTTTTTATACAACTTTAATAACGGCATTCCATATTATTATTGAATTCGCTAAGTACCCGACTGTTCATTGTATGTCAAAAAAATATATAAGTGTTTGTATTCCATATATCCCAGTAAATATGCCATTAAGGATATGTCATTAAGGATAACATTCAAACGAGCAGCTCTGCTTCAATCATATCTCGATATTTGTGTTATGAAAACATAGGAACGATTTCAAATAGGATCTCTCAAAAACGTAACTATTCCAGATTTCTATTTTTGAACTTCTCCCATTTCCACCATATGTTAAGCATTACATAACAGAAAGGTTTAAAAAGTTGTGTATATATTTCACAAAAAATAACAAAATATGCTATCATTACCAAATTTCATATTACAAGTGCTGCATAGATAAACTTTAGATATCACCACCAGTAGTGTCAACTTGTGCATTATCTACAAATTGTTTAAATTTTATCATGTTTATTTTCATTAAAAATTAGTATTTTACAGTATTACCACGATTACATGAACATTTTATAAATAAAAGATAAATCTTAATATGGTTCTAGATTATGAACTTAGATAGACGGTAAAAGGTACATATACTGGTGTATATTTTCTTTTAAAGTCACAGTTGAAAAAGCATGTTAACAATCGATCAATTATATTACGTCCCTTCTTACAGTACTAATCACATTATTGAACAAGATGTTACTTACACTCGTTTATAGGTAAAAACTATTACATATAAACACAAAAGAATATCAACTTGTAAGTGTTTTCTTCGTAATATGACCTTGATTAATCTAGAGATGTTTCTGTTTCAATTGGTGAGCGTTTTGCTCTGCATATTATCTTCGTCTGGACAAGTTACAAGACCCGGGGGATGTCCAAATGTGAAGACTGTTTCCCATGTCAATTGGAAAAAGGTAAGATCGATTTTGTCATTATAATAAAGGTATTACAATAAAAGTGACAGAATCTTCAAAACCGTAATTTTGTTTTCAATCAGAAAACAAATGATATACAATTAGAAAATACATGTAGGGGATGGCATGAATTTAAAAGAAATAAACAGGTATGTCGGCTTGGTATGTGTATCTTCCTATGTGTTAACGTGTTGTGCATCAAAAGGGGTTTCCTAGAATTAAGTGTATCAAGAACACACACACATCTTAAACATATCAAAGCTTAGAATGTACCAATCGTGATCATAATAGGAGATATTTGACAAAATTGACATAAAAACAATTACCTACTCCACTTTAGTAATTTGCTTTAGGCATATTGATGTCTTGTCGAATTGTTTACTGTAGATAAAATAACGATATATCACCATGTGTACACCAATACAATATAACAAGTACGTCATAACACTGTTGAACTAATGATGTTTTTTTTCATTTGGGAGATGATCAGACAGGACCATGACAATTTGCATATACACTTGTATATTGTTGAGGACCAAAGCTAAACAACAGAAATCTCTCTGTTTTTTTTTTTTTCTTCTGTTTTTTTTTTTTTTTTATTATTTATTTTAATGTCTTATAGACGTATAGTCCATATTGTGTGTTAATGATACTACTTACAGATAACTGACATTTGTTACCATACATACATGATAGATAGATTTTAAACTATGTTTTTTGCTTACATAAAGTTCAATTGGCAAATGATTTTTAAAGTCGTAGTATGTTTCATGTCGTTAGGCTTCAGTAAGACATTATGACAAAGCACTGAAAATACAATGTACCTTTACAATTTTATTTTCTTATTTTCGTAAAATATTATGTTGCACTTAATAACAGATATATTAAATGCGAAATATATGTTGTTATCAATGATAAAAACATCTTACTTACATATTTTGTCGGATTAATGAAAATAACCTGCGCATTCGTGTTAACATAATACGATATTAACTTCGTGTTAAATAGATTTCTAACATGTAAATAACATGT